GTGGCTCTGCACCCCACAGAGACCGAGCGTCCCTGAGAAAGCTCCAGAACAATGTCTCCATTCCTTGCTCTAGTTTCTCCCCACTTCCCATCTCGCTGGGGAGCACAGGGTTGAGGTGACTCACCATGACAATGACCATCTCAGCCTACAAAGCTCAGAGCCAGGTTTCCTGGAGTTTGGGGGGTCCTGGGCTCAGGGTCTGGGGTTCAGGCCTATTTCTCACCCCTCCTTTCCCCAGCAGGGAGGACGGGATGTTTCGGAAGCCGGAGCCGGGGTTAATGGAGCTGGAGAAGAGACTCAGCGATTTCTCTCTGAAAAGTGCCATGCTGCAGGAGGTGCTGCTGGGATTCAAAGGTGAATTGGAGTCTGGGGGTGGTGTCTCCTCTGGCTAGAGTGACCCTCACCCTGGGAAGGAGACGGGGACTCTAGTGATGTCACTGATCCTCGGCTCCATCTCACAGCCCAACTCAGTGAGTCGCCCTTCCCCATGGGAGTAGCCCTGTGGGGCTGGCTCTGTCTGCAGTGGCTGCGTTATCGGCCTCTGATCTCTGTCACCATCTCGTAGTTAACTGCAGTTACATTAATAAGCAATGGGGATTTCTCCATGAATGCGAGGGCCTGAATTCTCACCTCTCCCATCGTCTCCTTCCCCTAGAGACACTGCGACGGGCGCTGGGGAGCGACACAGGTACGTGTCTGTCTCTGACTGGCCATGGGGAGATTTCAGATTAATAACCATGTTAACCACAGGGGATCGCAGCCTCCAGCACCTGGAAATTGTGTAACAATGGGAAGCGATGTTACTTTGTTCTTGCACCACTATATTTTCAACTGACTTCTCTTAAATATTTTAGCTCATCAATATCACGTAAGCATTTAAAGTGTTTTGCAGTTTTTTTAGTATTTATTAATTTTTTTGCCTTTATTTTCTTTAATTATTGCATTTTTTACTGACTACATTAATTTTAAGAATTTTATTTTGCAGTTTCAATTGCAGTAATATTAATAGTGTTTTTAATTAAGTTTACATAGTCTAATTTTAAAGCTCTTTTTTAAAGACCACTAAGGTCTTTGACAACTTTTCCTGTTTTTGAGTGGCTGCTCGCTTTTTTTTTTAAAATACAAAGGCTGAGCTTTTTTTTAAACATATTTATTTGAAAGTTTGTTGGTATAGGTAGAGTTTTTTGGCTTTTTAAATAAAATATATAGACTTTTGTTGTTGTGACTTTTTAAATTGGTAATGAATTCAAATTTTTTAACTTATAATTATTTTAGTGCACTATTTACCTCTTGTGACACAGGGTGTAGCTGATTTTTACACTTTAAATAAATAAAACAGCTATTAGCATCTAATTTTGTTAAAACAGCAATTCAATATTTCTTTTTTGCATAACCTGCACTTCTTTAAGAATGCAATGTTTGGTTCTTTTAATTAACTTTTTGCTCTAAACTTTTTTTTATGCTTACATTATGCTTTAATTAATTTATATTTCTAGGAATGATTTTATTCATTTTAGATAGAATCTTAATTTTTTTCCCCCAATGCATTCTTAGCCATCCCGATGATAATTAATTTCTTGGAAACATCCTCAGCAGAATTATTTGAAGGTGTTGCACCAGAGAGTAAAGGCACAGAGGCAGTGGCTTTTGGGAAACAGGGTAGGTTTCATTACTAATGCTGCTCTTAAAAAGAAGGGTCTTTTTAGAAAAATAGTTTATCTTACAAGCACAGAGAGACTTTAAGAAAGTCACTAATCACGGGAGCAATGGGTCTCTTTGGAACATATTTTAACTGACAAGCCCTTATAGCCTTTCTGAGAAACAGGATAGAACTATGGTCAACATTAAGTGCAAATTAATAATCATGCATCATGAGGAGAAAGAGGAGGTTATGCAAGTTAAAATATAATGAAAACAAAGCCTCTCAGAAAAGAAATATATCAGTTTAGTAGCAGTGTTGCCATATCAGGGGTGAGGTGGGAGATGATTTTCTCCCCCTCCCCATCTCTTTTTAAAAGTCCGAAAAGGAATAAAAGTGGGTGGCATAGTTTATTTTTTATTATTTTGTTTACTAATTAAATCCATATCCCTAAGACCAAATTTGGCATAGGTAACTTTGTTCCCACGTTTTCTTGTTCACCAAGCATAGATCTTAGTACTGGCCCTGAACTACATCATTAGCCTCCTTTTGTTTGGACTAATTACATTTTCTGTAGTTGGTCTTCTTGCACCTGTGCATGGCATTCATGGATGAAAATAATTTAACCTACTTTTCATCAACTTGTTACTATAGGGTATTGTAAGATCTTATGAACTTTCGTCTTCCTTTTACAGTGAAGTAAGGAAGACAGTTCAAAATGTGGGTGTTATTGGAATTAATAGTTCCCAGGGTTGGTCCATATATGCCATAGCACTTGGCTCATTCATGCTTTGTCCATATACAATGTAGCACTCTCTTCCCATGCGTAGTCAATGACGATACAAAATAATCTAGGCTGGTGTTTCTCAGCTGGTGGTTTGCGACCCCCGGGGGCTCAGGAAAGGCAGTCTGGAGCCTGTGAGATGTTGAGTGTTTCATTATGATCGAAAGCAAAGAAAATCTCACTCCCCTGTTCATTGTGGTCAAGTATTTTCTGTCAGCCTCTAGAAATATACAAGTTATATATAGACTCAGCATGGATACATGCTTTATTCTTACTTTTTTAGTAAATGTTTGGGGGTCGGAAAAAATGTGGCTTCCAATAAGTGGTACTTGCTTACTTATTTCAGCTGGGAAATTAGGCAGTTTTCAGCTGTGCACAGTAACCCTTTCATTGCCTGTATCACAGCCAGCGAGACTGAAACCCCTTTGGTGGTTAGTAGAGATGGGGACGAGGCAGAAAGTTTGGATCCAAACCGGCATTCAGTGCTGTCAGCGATCACAGGAGAGTAAAGGAACCCAGGGATCGTTGGTCACTAAGTCTCCCAGGGAGAGGGAGGGGAGAGGGGGAAAGAGAAGACAGAAAATTAAGGAGAAATAAGTGAGGGGGGCGGAGGTCACAAACTCCCAAACCTGCCCACAACAAGTCATAGAGTCAATAAGTCTAAGGCCAGAAGGGACCACTGGATCATCTGTCCTGACCTCCTGTCTAGCACTGGCTGCTAACACCACCCAGCACCCGCCCACTAAACGCAACCGCTGGAGTGCGACCAAAGTCTTGCAGCCCACAGGAAACTGGACTATTATATGCCCCAGGCAGAAAATAGGAGGGACCGAGGTGCACCAGTGCCCCAGACTCCTGAGGTGGCATGGAAATGGTTAAGTGAGATATTTCTGGGGAATCCTAGTGAGTGCCCCACACTGCATAGGAAGATGAAACCCCCCCACTGACAAAAATTCCTTCTCCATCCCACCTATAGTGTCAGTTAGACCCTGAGCATGGGAGCAAGAACCAGCCAGCCAAGCCCCTGAGAAAGAGAGAGAGAGACTGACTGAGTGATCAGTGCCACCTCACAGCCCTAGTCCACCCTGCCCAATATCCTGTCTTCTTCTCTGGCCATTCTTGAAGCTTCAGAGGAAGGAGATCAAATAAACCCTAGTACATTGTGGTGGGAAAAATCCCTTCCTGACCCCTAGCAGTGGTGGCTGAAACTCCTGAAGCGTGAGGGTGAGGCACATAATACATTAAATGGATGTGAGCCCCACTTAATGTTCCACTACTTGTCTCTATTGACAATGGCTTCCATCTTAACATCACCAGCAAACTTCATTTCATTTACTGCACCAGCACTGGGCAGACTTTGTCCTGTCCCTGCCTCCGCCTGGTCCCCATGGTGGGGGAGTTGCTCTCAGGGTTTTAAAACTAGCACAGTGGGTTTAGTGCTGCTGGGAGGGGCTGTGTCTGGGCTGTGATAAAGTGATGGAATGTTTTCCCAGCATGCGAGTCAGAAACATCTTGTGCAGGGAAAGGGCCAGGGCAAATCATGATGTGATAGGAACTAAAGGCCCTTCTGAAATCTTTCCTGTCACCTTTCTCACCCTGACAGGAGGCAGAGTAACACCCACCTTTGACTCCAGCTTGTCCCAGCTTCCCATGGGACAGGGAAGGGAACTGGCTGTAGTGGAGCCAGTCCAGGTAGGGATTATTGCGGGGTTGCTAGTGGCTTCCTCCTGGAGGGAGAGGGGCAGGAAATACTGAGGGCCTGGGATCTTTGGGGAGTTCAGTCTGGAGGTGGGAGGGGGCAGGAAATACCCAGGGTGGAGAAAGGGAGGGGGACAAGGCATGTGACAAACTTGCTGGGAATTGTTTAACTCAAGTCCTGGATTCCGGGAACAGACCCATGGGGTTTGGGGGAGGAAATTACCCTATTTGTGGAATGGGGTTGTGTTGGGGGTGGGGAAACGCTGGACAGCCCTGGGAAAACGTATCAGATTCCCAGTGCAAGAACATAAATCTACTCGCCAGAGGCTGCTATGAGATATGAAGGGGCGGAAGCGTTACTCATCAGTGGGGCGTAGAGTAGATAACCCCTCCCCTACCTTCCAGCTGCTGGCAATGGGAAGCCTGTTGGGACTCCTACTGGGGAGCCAACCCTGGAGCCTGCTGGGGGCCCCATCCCCCACATCAGCCTCTGGCTTGTAGGTGTGTGATGAATGAGAAGACCCTTCCCCCTCTGTCTGCTGGAGGGGAGTAGGGGATCTCTATCTCCCCTCCTGTTTTGCCTCCTGGCTGCTCCGAGCTGGGGGGGAGGGGGACTGTGCTGACTGAGCCTGCCAGAGCTTCCATTTGATTGACTCCTCTCCCTCCACGAATAGTGGGGCTGTGAGTGGGGCAGCAGGTACTGAGTGTTGGACACTTCCTCTTTCAGGGGCCGGTGACCTTCGAGGAGGTGGCTGTGTATTTCACCAGGGAAGAATGGGCTCTGCTGGACCCCTGTCAAAGAGCCCTCTACAGGGACATCATGCAGGAGAACTATGAGAATGTGACCTCACTGGGTAAGGATTCCTGTGCCCTCAGTTCTTAGAAGGGGAAATGAAGAGTTAGGATTCACGCCCCCCTCCCCCATGCCACCTCTGCTCTGCCCTGTTTTAGCAATAGCCCATTGAGTGCATTGAAATGGGGCAGACTTGGTCCCTCAGGGTTCACATGCACCTCCCTTCATATCAGTCACAGCTCTGCCAAGCTGCTCCAACTGCTCCCTCCACCATCCAGTTACAGCTGACCCAGTGCACACAGCTGGAGGGCATGCCAATAAATGCTGGTATTCCCATCTGTGAACACAACACAAACAATGGCACGTTCTTAGTCCTTCATATCTATGGTAGAATCATAGATTTTATGGCCAGAAAGGGTTATTAGGTCATCTAGTCTGACCTCCTGTATAACACAGGTCATAGAATTTCATCCGGTTATTGCTGAATTGAGCTGAATACCTTGTGTTGGACTAAATCCTCCCCCAGAAAGGCATCCACTCTGACTTGAAGACTTCAAGAAATGGAGAAACCTCCACTTCCTTTGTTAGTTTGTTAACCTTTGCATCAGCCTTACTGAGCCATTCCCAGTGGCTAGTCCCAGCTGCAGGGCTAGGGGCAGAGCTAAGGTTGCATTTTAGGGGTGGTGTGTATATTAACTCTTCCTTTTCTGGTTTTCAGAGGTTTAAGTTTAGCCACCACCAGCATAGTGGAAAGGCATGAAACAGAACTGGGCAACCTGTACTCAGTATTTATGTAGGTTATGGGCATTTGATTTCCTTATTTTTTTAATAAACTTTTTTGGCACTCTTGGTCTGCATGAGAGATTTTGCCAGCATAATTCTGTCAATTAAGGATGTGCTTTTTCACATCCCTAACAAACAGAGCTCTGCTGACAAAACTTTGCAGCTCAGAAGAGGCCAGAGTCTGCTAGTGGATTTTAAAACACTTTAAAATATTGCTCTCAGCCCTGAAATTTTGGAATCAGGGAGAAACTTCTAATAGGAACTCCTTCAGAATGCAAGCAAAATGCACAATGCAGTGTAGTGGGAGGAAAGGGATAGGTATGTGGAAGACAGGAGGGTATCAGGGAAGGATGGGTACCATGGAAGGAAGAGGAGGTGAGGAATCAGAGACAGAAGCTCCTGGGAACAGGGAATGTGGTGGTTTGGGGGAGTGGGAGCCTGGGAATGGAGAAAAGGGGGTGGAGGTCCCAGCAGTCTTTAATGAGTTCTCCATAAGCAAAGCTCAGAACCAGTACTCCATCCTTATTCTTCTTGACCTGTCAGCCACCTTTAATACCACTGACCATGGTCGTCTTCTTGAAATCTTGTCTTCTTCCTGGCTCTCCTACTTCTGTAACTACTTCTTCAGTGTGTCCTTAGGTAGATCGTCCTCACCTCCACTCCAGTTTTCTGTGGGGGTTATACAGGGCTCAGTCCTTGGTCACTTCCTCTGCACTTTATCTCTGGGAAATCTGACCCCCAAACACAAATTCAGCTACTGTCGGTATGCTGATGAATCACAGATATACCGCTCTGCTCCAGACCTGTCTCCTTCTGTCCAAACTAAAATCTCAGCCTCCCTCTGATGACTCCTCGTGGATGGCTAGCCATCAACTCAAGGTCAACAGCTCAAATGTTGATAAGAGAGCTCTTAATCCCCCAAACCAGCTCCCCACTTCCTTTCTTGCTGTTCACTCCAGAATTATCTGATGGAATGTCAGAGCCTCTGGCAATATTTCAAACTCAGATGACTGGAGAGGTCCCAGAAGATTGGAGAAGGGTTAACATAGTGCCCATCTTTACAAAGGGGAAAAAGGAGGAGCTGGGGAACTATAGACTAGTCATCCTGACCTCAATACCAGGGAAGCTACTAGAGCAATGTATAAAACATTCAATTTGCAAATACTTGGAGGATGAAGGGGTAATCGATAGCAGCCAGCATGGATTTACTAAGAAATAGCATGACAAACCAGCTTGATATCCTTCTTTGATAGGGTGACTGGTTTGGTGGATAAAATAGACCTGGACTTCAAAAAGGCTTTTGACACAGTCCCATGAGTAAGCTGGAGAAATGCAGGCTCAACAGAACTCCCATTAAGTGGATATATAATTGCTTACACAACCTCAAGCAAAGAGTAACTATGAACGGAATGATGTCAGATTGGAGGGATTTCTCAAATGGGGTTTCACAGGGATCTGTTATGGGTCCGGTGTTACAGTGGAGTTGCATCCTACGTGGGGGTTAGGTTCTAAAGTCAGTGCGTAATGCAAAAATTGCGTATAGTCAAAATTACCATTGAGTGTAATGGCGGGTGGAATCCCCCACACTACAAGTACAGTATTAAAATTGTTGTTCTCTTTTTTTATTTTTTTTGCTGAGCGCATATAGTTAAAATTGTGTACGTTGAATCCGCATATGATGTGACTCCCCTGTATTTAACATCTTCATTAATGACCTGGATGTAAGAACAGAGAGCATACTGATCATATTTGCAGATGACACAAAGCTGGGGGGTTGTCAACACTTTGGAGGATAGAGCAAAACTTCAAAGGGATCAAATTGGCGAACTGGGCTATAGACAACAATGAAATTCAACAAAGACAAGGGTAAGGTGCTACACTTTGGGAAGAAAAACCCAATGCACAAATACGGAATGGGGGATAACTGGCATGGCAGCAGCACCGCTGAGAAGGATCTGGGAGTTGTGGTGGATCACAATCTCAACATGAAGTCAACAGTGTGATTCTGCTGCAAAAAAGAAGCAAATGCATTAACAGAAGCATAGCATGCAAATCATAGGTGGTGATAGTACCGCTCTACTCAGCACTGGTTAGGCCTTAGGGGGAGTCCTGGGTCCAGTTTTGGTCACCACTGCCTAGACAGATTGTAGAGAAACTGGAAAGAATCCAGAGGCAAGTGACAAAGATGATCAAAGGGATGGAACGCAAACCAGTGAACAAAGGCTGATGGAACTGGGTGTGTTTAGTTTGGGGAAAAAAGAGTTAATAGGGAGAGATATGATAGCGGTCTTCAAATACTTGAAAGGCTGCGTAAGCGTGTGTGGCTATCCTTCCTGGTCTATCTCTGAGGGAGGGCAGGCCTCCTCGCTGTCGTGCTCTTAGCACTGCAATCAATTAAGGGGAATTAGCAGTCTTCAAAGCTCAGGCCATTTGATCCAGGCTGAGCAATAGTTAATCTATGGTTCCCGGCCCTCAGGCAGGACTGGCCACCAACAGTCAGTGCTCTGGCCTGCAATCAGGGCAGAGCTGCAAAGTCTCCAAGCCCAGGCCCTCAGTCAGGGTGGGACAGCAAACAATTAGGGGCTTTGCCCAGGGTGAGTACCAAACAATCTAGGGCTCAGGCAGGGGCAAGCACCAGTCTAGCATCCTAGCTCAGCAGATGGTAGACCAACACAGGCCTCCTGGCCAAAGGTGGGGTGGCAGGAGGTAGGGGGACCCTGGCCCACCTGACTCCACTGGGTCCCAGCCCCGGGCCCAAACAGTGGCAGTGTAGTCTGCCACTGGATCAGGGGGGATCCGCCCACAATACCCTTACTTAGTGTCAGGCCAACACTCAGCCAGACAATGGTCTAGTTTCCCTGGGCTACTTCCTACAATCCCCAGGGTTTGTTATCTCTGCCTCAATTTTCCCGGGATCGGTGGTCTGTGGCAGCTCCATCAGCTCATTGGCACCTCGACTGGCTGGCAACCCTGAGAGCTTTGGCCAGTCCTATGGCGGCCGCCCCAGCAGGTCCTCGGTGTCCCGCTCCGGCAGCGGGTTATAAGCGTCTGTCTCCCTCAGAAGCTCCAGCCCAACTGAGCTGCAGGGCCCTCCTTTTGTACTTCTGCTTCCTGTCCTGCCCCTCAGCTTCCAGAGGGGTTGAGGTGGCTTTCCTGGCTCTGTAGCCCAATGGGCAGGTTGTGGTCCCTGCTGGTCTTCCCCGCTACAGGCTGTCATACGAAGGATGGAAAACAGTTCTTCTCTCTTGTCACAGAGGGCAGGACAAGAAGGAGTGGGTTCAAAGTACAGCACAGCAGATTTAGATTAAATCTCAGGAAAAACTTCCTAACTGGAAGAACAGTAAGAGAATGGAACAGACGCCTAGGGCGGTGGTGGAAGGTTATTCACTGGAGGTTTTCAAAAGGAGTCTGGAGCCATCTGTCTTGGGTGGTTTAGTCACAGCAAATCCTGCACCTTGGCTAGATGACCTTTGTGGTCCCTTTTAACTCTATGGTTCCATCTAAGGGGAACCGGGGTTCGCACTTGGAAAAAGCTAATACTAGCATGTCGCACATTAAGGGTATGTCTTCACTGCATCTGGAAGCTGCCTCCCAGCCAGAGTCCATGCTGACTCACTACAAATAAAGGTGTAGGCACTGTTGGTTGGGCTGTAGCTTGGGTTCTAAAGCCAGGAGTTGAAGGGGTGGGTGGGCTGGATGGTCTGAACTCCAAGCAGAGCCCTAACATCAAAGCAATGTCTCCACAGCCATTTTTAATGCACTAGCATGAGACTCAGCCTGGAAGGCAGCTGACTTCCTGATGCACTGTAGACATGCCCGAAAGAGGGCAGTCCCAAGGGAGACTGTATAAAGGTTGGGCCACCTAACTCCCTGTAAATCCATGACCCAGCCCCCTCCCTTGGCACCCTGTCACCGTGCCTTAGTGGGTCACAACTGAGGATGCCAAATTCAGGATGAACCCCTGAGAAATAGGGCAAACACAACCCAAAACTGGTGGTTATTCTTTTATAAGCTTCTGAGTAGCAGCCGTGTTAGTCTGTATCCACAAAAAGAACAGGAGTACTTGTGGCACCTTAGAGACTAACAAATTTATTTGAGCATAAGCTTTCGTGGGCTACAGCCCACTTTATCAGAGGCATGCTTATGCTCAAATAAATTTGTTAGTCTCTAAGGTGCCACAAGTACTCCTGTTCTTTTTGTGGATACAGACTAACACGGCTGCTACTCAGAAGCTTATAAAAGAATAGGAGTACTTGTGGCACCTTAGAGACTAACAAATTTATTTGAGCATAAGCTTTCGTGGGCTACAGCCCACTTTATCAGAGGCATGCT